GCGCAGCGCCGAGTTCGGCCCGGCTGCGGGGGCGCGTCTTCTCGGGCTTTGCCGCCTTCTCACACGTCGTGTGACCGCTGCTGCAGACCCGGGCGGGAGAGGAGCAAAGTTTTCCAAAAATCCCTCTGGGCACGTTGTCACCTGGGAAGGTTGAGACGGCGCAGGGGGGGTTCACCCGCTGCCCAGCGCCGTGGTTTTGGGCGCTCTCCACCCCGGGCCACGCTTCCTGGGAACACAAGGCTGAAGGGATCGGGCAGCCTCTGAAGGGCGCAGCCGTCCTGAACTCTCGTTACTGGGATTTGGAGATGCACAGCTGAAAAAATCCTTATCTCCCCTTGAAGGGGCTGAGAGCTGCTTTAACGGAGTATTAGTTTCAGAAATAAAACAGGAAAAATGAAGATAAGTCTACAGAGGCTTTACTAACAGTAATGGCCAGCAGTTGTGTATTATGTACGCCTGGCCTGTGTACTTTTACAAATAATTTATCCCTTGTAACAACCCTGTGGTACAGGTATGCTTTTTTGGGGGGGGGGTCAATGAGAAAACAAGTAACAGGGAGGTTAAGCAGCTTGCCCAAGGTGACACAGCTGGAGATGGGAAGAGTCAGGAATGAAGCCATTAATTAACCCTAACCATCACGCGAAACTTCCTTTCCACAAGGTAGACGTAGCCTTTTCTTTCTGACATCTTAAGTTTGAGCCAGTCTTTGGAAGTCTAACCAAAGACAGTTACAAAAACAAGGGGAGGATGGGTCAGGACTTGGTTATATTCCCACTGTTCTGTCAGTAGTTGGAGAGGCAGCCCACCTGGGTTTAGATCCCCGTCCTTCCACTTTCCAGTTGGGGACCTAGGGGAAGTTACTAAATTTGAGTTTTCTGAGGTCTGCGGACTGTGGTTAATAGTCTGGCGCTCCTGGGGTAGTCCTGAGGATTAGGTGAGTTAGTCCTTAGAAGGACTTTAGGGCAGTGGCCTGGTGCCGTAGTAAGTGCATAGCAGTGTTTATTACTTACTGTTTTTACTTTATTACTGTTTGCTGTTATCACCATCCATTTTTTGGCTCCATATTTCAACAGTCATATTTTGTTATGACTTCAGACAGACACGTTATAATCCTTGGCGTGATAAACTGTCACTGTAGGTCACAGCCCTCTTCTACCTCGTTTATTTAATAATAGGACAAAACCTGTGAACCCGTTGCACAGCCCGAGAATGGGGAGGCTGACGGTAGTCCTGCACCTCCACGCTCCTCACCGCTCTCTGCCTGCAGTCTTCTGTGCCCCCAGCGTGGCTGCCGCCCTCAGTTGTATGCTTCCCCTTGTCTTATTTTTACTGGTTATCACCTGTGAGTTTATGCCTGAACAGTACTTGTTGTTTCTGAACTTCATTAAAAGGCTGTTATGCTGCATATAACCTTCAGGGGCTTTCCCCTCACTCCACGTCACGTTGTTAAGCTCGGTCCATATTGTGTGTGGCTGTCCTTCCTTTTTCACCAAGCGTAACTCCACTCTCTCAAAGCCTTGTAACCGTTCATTCTCCTGTCTGTGGGCATTTTCATTTGTTCTGTTTTCCACTCTAAAAAATGCTGTCAAGAACATTCTTGTATCTGTCATCCAGTTAATAAGTACGTTTTGCAGACTGTGAACTATACCTAAAATAACATCAATAAACTTGAGCCTGTGGGAGGAATGTAAATATGAAACATCGGGTTAGACTTTCTCAGCCTTAGCCCTGTGGCCATTTGGGCCGGGTAAGTGTTTGTAGGGGCCTCTACTGTGCACTGTGGGATGTTTAGCAGTGCTGCTGGTCCCCACCCTCAATACCAGGAGCAGCCCCCCCCACCCGATTTATAAGTTCTCCGGATATTACCCGGGGAGATCAGAATGGTTCCCAGCTGAGAAGCACTGACGCGGATGGGAAGGAAAGAATCTGGAGAGAGAGTCTAGGTTCCTATAGAGAACAGCGCGCTGCCGCTTGCAGGGCTGGAGATGAGTAACCTAGCTGAGCACTCTGTCTTTATGAAAATTTACCGGGGATGTGACAGGCGTCATGAAGCCTGGCGTCCTTGTGGAGTGAACCTGCATGGCAGAGATGCTAGAGGTGACTTCTGTAGCTGGTTCTGGCATTAAATGGCCTTTTGTGAAATAACTGTCTTAACTAGTTGAGTCCTCTTGTGTCTAGTTGTTTCTGGCGGTTCGCTTCTGGTGTGGTCACTGGTGCTGTTTAAACGAAGGGCCTGCTGGCATCCTGTTCACCAGAACGAGGCAAAGTGCGCTCTTCCCCTGTGCTTTACCTTTTATATTTTTTGTTTTTTTGTTTTCTGTGTTTCCACTGTCTTAGGGAAATATGTTTAAAGACTTGCTGAGTGTGTCCCTCTTTTTTTTTTTTTTTAAGAGTTTAGGAAGTTTAATAGGTACTGCTGTAGGTAACAGCGGGCCCCACAGATGAGAGGTGCCTGCGTGTGTCCCTCTTCACACCTGTATTTTATAAACTCTTCTTTCCTTTTTTCCTTGCCCCAGAGAATCCCCAGATTTTACTCAGAAATACCATTTAAGTTGAGTTTTAAAGAAAACACATGTATCTCGTAGAGCTGGGTGAACAAAACTGAGCAGTGCTATTAAGCAGTTACTGAAATTAACTCCTGGAGAAACAAAGCTTTGTCTGCCGATTTTCAGTGTGAAAAAGCAGCTGCCGTGAAGAGGAGTAAATCCTGTGCAGCTGACGTCCCCAGTGACCTGCGAGAAGAAGTGGAACGCCACTACAGGCTTCCTCTGCCTGAAGACTTCTATCACTTCTGGAGGTTCTGTGAAGGTCTGGATCCTGAGAAGCCCGCTGGTGAGTTGCTCCAGAATCTTTCTCATGTTTCTGTTGGGGAAAAAGTAGGAAACCAGACCAAGGGTCTAAAAAGTTCATGGAAAAGGAACTTTCCCAAAGGTGTTTCCAGTGAGAGAATTAGAAAGTTGTGCTGTAATGATGTCACCATCACTTGTCATGCTAGCAGAGGTGAATTCACAGCTTGCTTTCATGAGCGTTGGAGGAAAATAAGCACCCGCTTGGACATGTTGTAGGGGTTTCAGCATGACTGACTCAGCCGTGCTGCCCCCAGGGGAACCGAAAACCATGTTCAACGAAATGGAAACAAAAAATAGAAAATGGCTTAAATGCTCATCGGTGACGCATCTATTCAGTGGATGTTTGTAGTTTTAAAAGAATGAGGCAGGTTTCTAGGCAGGGATAAAGTACTGTGCCTGACTTAGTTTAAGTGAAAAACGGGAGATCACGTAGCATACACTTCCATTGGTATCTGTCAGTCAGGGATGCACACCCCCCCATGCTTCCTGCTAGCCTGCACTGTCTCTGAAAGATGCAGAAAGCTGATGATGTGGTAACAGTTACTTTTCCTCCATACCCCCTTGTACTGTTTCACCGTCTGAACATGAGGTTGGAGGTGAAGCAGCCCCATGCACTGTGGACGGAAGCACGCGTCGGGAGATGGCTGGGTTCCGGCGGTACGTCCAGACACTTGGACTGTGCAGCAAGACCCATGGCTGTGTCCAAACGTGTATCAGCGAAGGTGTTCCCCACAGCACTGTTTGGAATAGAAAAGAATAAGAAACAGTAAATGCCTGTCAGCAGTAAAACAGACGTATCTATGATGAAACGCCACTGTGTTTCCTGTGCTGTTAAAGACATGTTTACTAGCGTGGGAAACACTCGAGATTTAAGTGCGGGCAGGTTGGAGAACCAAAAAGACTGCAAAGCGGTGTGGCCTCTCTTTCAAATAGCTGTGTGTTTGTATCTGTCGGTGGAGGGGGGATGTGATTACTGTGTACCAGACTAGAACCTGGCTATTTCTGGCTAATGAGATGGGCCGTTTTAGGTGTTTTGTTACTTTAAAACTTAGCTACGCCAGCCTGAGCTCCAAGTGAGTGGAACTGCTTTTCCCTCCAAATAAACTGTCTCTGGGCTTTTTTTCACATTGTTGCCTCTTCCAGGAATTTTCCTCCCCCTCCACCCCCACCTTCTTGCATCTCCAGATCCTGCCTACAGTGTCTTCATCCCTTTTAGAGAAGCAGCGAGGGCCTGTCTGATGTGGTGACAGTGTCCATTTGAGCAGACTTGACTCTGGGTTTACCTAACGCTTGTGATCTGTGAAGGACAGAATGCAGACGCATCCGGGATTGGGGTTCGCTGGGCTGACAGTCAGGGAGGCAAGAATCCAGAGTGATGATTAGCTGAGGGGGAGGGAAGGTGAAGGAAACAGTCTCCTTAAATACGTTTTTAATTAAATTATTGACCTTCATTTGCCGTCTGTCTTGACTCTCCCTTGATCTGGGTGTGCTACAGAAGTTCGAGGCCAACGGCAACATAGTAGTGAGGTGCGGGGAGTGGGCAGCTCTGAGATTCCCGTAGGGACACAGAACAGCCTTGTTTTGGACAAAGTAAATAGCTGTGTGGAGTGTAACCAGGGGTGCAAGTGAGAGGAGACCCCAAATGTGCGGCCTGGCTTCCCTGCACTGCGTTCATTACCCCTGAGTCTCCCCAGCTCACGGCTTCACAGGTAGCTGGAGGTCTTGTACTGGGGAAGCTCTGTTTTCAGACAGTTGCTGAGATGGTTTTTCCAAGTGAAAGGCATTATTTCCTTTTTGCCCCCAGAAAGTTACTGTCTAAATAAGCATATTTAATTTACAGATTCACTGTCTGCCAGCCTTGGACTTCGGTTAGTGGGCCCTTACGATATCCTGGCGGGAAAACATAAAGTGAGGAAGCCGGCACGCCTGAACTGCAACCTCCACTGGAGGTTCTACTACGACCCTCCCGAGCTGCAGACCATCATTGTTGGGGATGGTAACACCCAGTTCCACATGGGCTATTTCAGGTAAAGGCTGTCGTCTCCTCCTCTGAGCGCGCTGCCGCCCCTGAACTGCACAGGGCGGGCTCGGCCCTGCTGGTGGGCGATCTGCCATTCCTGCTGGGCTCCCCGACCTGCCTGCCTCCCCTGGGCTGGGTGCCCTTGTTAAGGTTAACCTCGCCATCTTTTCCTCTGTGGTTATAAGCCTTTTTCCTTTGGGGTTCAGAAGAGCTCTTTTAGGGAAGAAAGGTAAGTCAGGGCAGCTGCCGTGATGTAAGCTGGCCGTGTGCTCCCCGGGGCTGTAGCATTAAGAACGTGCTCTGGGGTCAGACTGGGGCTGCTGATTGTTACCCGGGTGACCCTGTGCCAGTCCTTGGTGCCTGTGACTCCATGACGCAGTTTCCTCCTGTGGAAACGAGGATCAGCGTCACACGCACCTAATGGGAGACTTAGGAGGTGTAAGTGGGTACGTGCGAGGTGGGGGCAGGGAGACAGCTGTCTACTTGGAGAGGTGCGGTCGTTAGAGCCGAGGTGCAGAGGACAGGGCGCGCTCAGGCCTGGGGCTGGGCTCCACCCGTAACTTCCCAGGCCCTTGGCTGGGTCACCTCGTCTCTCTGCTGGTTTCCTCTGTTGTAAAATGAAAGGACGTGGTTTATGTGTGAATCGGATCCTTCGACCTGCAGTGTTTCATAGTCCTCTCTGTCCTGTTTCTTTCTGTTTCCCACCTTCTTCCCCACCCTCGACTCCAGGACTCGGGCAGAGATGATCGAGTGTATCTTCCCCTCCTCCTTTGACTTTATTTGACTTTGTGGGACTTGAAAGGCTTTATTCCCCCCTTCTTCGTATGTGGCTATAAAAGTAACGAGGTCCTAAGCGTCTTTAGGTTCTGTTACATAAATACAATTTGTCATAGACATTTCTAAGAAACTTAGAGCTTAAACCTGGCAAATTCATTGGCAGTTTTTAAAAACATGCGGGTATAAAATGTAGATCTAAAATTCTACTTTTCTGATGGTGTACATTATGGGCAGCTGAATTTGTAATATCTTTTGCTCAACAGGGATTCTCCTGATGAACTTCCTGTATTTGTTGGTACAAATGAAGCAAAGAAAAACTGTACAATTGTTCAAAATGGAGATAACGTGTTTGCTGCAGTCAAGTAAGAAAATACTTTATTTCAGTCCCTCCCCTATATTTGTTCACAGTTTCTGTGCTATGTTAGTCAGCCCCTCACTGAGGGGAACTGGCGCAAAGTTGTTTTAGGTTTCTTGAGTTCACTTCCATGGCTTTTGCAGACATTTGTCCACGTTAAACTCACAAAACAGTACACCTCTTATATAACTGATTATTTAATGAAATATTACTTAATCTTGGCCTCATTTGTTCTCTGGCAAAATGACAAGATTTTTGCTTGTCCCTGCGAGGCGTGTCCCCACCCCATCATGTTTGAGTGGGAGGCGGCCTTGTGCCTGCGGCCCCGCCCAGCCGGGGCCAGAGCAGCCCAGTGCGGACAGCGGCATGGCCCAGTGGGTTCTCCTCCGCCTCCCTGACTTCAGGGCCCCACGCAGCCCGAAGGAAGCTGTCCCACGTGGGGCCTGCGGGGATGCTCGTGTGGGCGATGCGGGTGATGCGGGCCGCATGTGGGCACCAACAGGCCGGGAGCGTGCGGCCTCAGACTCGGTCCCAAGACGCTGGCACAGCTGTGCAGCTGACTCTAATACAGTGAAGAAGGCACCTTGATCACCTTAAATGTAGCAGGTGGAGTGTGTTTTGTGTGGCCTTTCTCATTACCCTACTTTTTAAAGACTTCTGTTTCCTGTGACTTGGTAGCACAGATTTGCAGTAAACAGAACTCAGTCAGCGTACTGCTGGGTATGCACCAGCACGGTAGATGTCCCCAAGGGCTCTTTCTTTCTGATAACGCTGAGATTTACATAAAATGCTTGCAGATTTTAACTTCCGTAGTTCTTTACACCCTTCAGATTTGGTGCTGAATTTAAATTTGGTGCCGTCTTCACTGGAAACTAGTTGCTTGTCTGCTCACTGTGTGTCTCCTGCACTCACCCACCTGCTCCGTGGTGGATGCACCATAAACCGTGTGTTCAGTCCACATACACCTGGATGTGCAGAAACAGCAAAGGTCTCACTAGTGCCATTGATCTTATTAAAAAGAAAGATGCAGTTATCTAAAATAATCCAAGATTGTTTTGGTGTTTTTTTTAGCTTATTGGAGAACACAGAAAAGGAAAAAGGAAACAAAAATACATTGGTGATAAGTTTATAATGTAGGTGCAGACCAGCAAGTGAATATCTGAATACCTAATGTTATTACACACAGAATGTTTTCTACCTCTGACAGTTTATCTCAAACATAGAGGTAAAAAAGTTGTAATGCTTTTCAAGTATTAATTACAGTATATAGTACATTTTTTTGAGACTTAAGTCAACTGATCAATTTATTTCTGTATCAGCCCGAGTAAGGTCTTTTAAGGCAGACCATTTGTTACAAAAAATTGTTTTTGTGCTCAGGGAAACTAGTTCTCTTTGTGTAAGATTTAATAGTAGCCAAAGAAATGCAGATACAGCCAGCAAAGAAGAGTAAAAATTAAAGAACGAAGATACCCAGTGATGGTCAGGCTGTGAGAAACCTTTCTGACACAAGAGATAATTGTAAAATGTGGATGGAGAGCAGCTGGAATAAGGTTGTTTAAATACTTCATCCAAGGTTTCCTGACAGGTAATTAACACCGCCCGGCCTGTGCTGCACATAACTCGGCAACTCCCTTTCTAGCTGTTTACCAGAAGGAATTTTGGTTGGGTGCACAGATGACTATGTATATTACAGTTTATAAAAATGAAGAATTAGGAAAAGCATACATATCAAGCAGTAGAGAAAATTAGGTGAATACCCATAGACTGTCCATACCGTGTGACACCAGGATGTTGGTCTGTGGACTTGGGAAAGTGTGTGACATGTCCTGTGAAGAGGTCACAGGACAGAGCAGAGGAATGGTTCCGGGTTCCCCTCCTCTGATGCACGTAGGGAGGGTCTAGATGATTCAGGGTTGTAAAGTACTTGCCTTTGGACGGCAAGGCTAGTGATGATTTTCTTTCTATTCTGTTGTTTTCCTTAGAGTAATTGTGGCAGTAGTTTGGACCTCTCAGACCTAAAAGGTTGTGGGCCCTGGGGGGTCTGCCGACAGCTCCAGGCCATGCTGCTGAGTTAACGCTGCCGGGAGCCTCGGGGTCCTGTTCAAGGCGCTGTGCGCAGCTCCACGCCGACGCGTCCAGACCGGGACTCAGGAACATTTCCTAAAGGGCATGTTCCAGGTGTCAGTGTGGCCCCAAACGTACTGCTCTCGTTTTAATTTTACAGTTTTAAAAACTCATTTTAACGAATAAACATTCTTTTTAGTGAACGTTTAACGCACGGTTACTTTGTGCAGGGCCGAAAGGCCGTGCAGAATGTCTAGTACTTAGTAAACGAGTAAGTGGAGCCTGTCTGGTGACCTTGGGCTGGGACGCGTGGGTAAGGGGCTGCTTTCCCCTCGCCCGCTGCCCCCACGCTCTCTGCCTCCCCCTGCCGGGTCATGCGGGCTTATTGTCACGGGCTGTGATTCCTCAGACACTGTCTCAGAGTGAGTATTTCTGACCAGGAACTGGGGAGTCGGATGTGCACTCAGGTTAGAAGCCATGAAGTAAGCAGCAGTGATCAAACGGTGGAGTGGCCCCTGGGGTGCCTGACGGCCCCTTAGGAGGCCTGTGAGGTCCAGACTCTTGGTGATGATGGGATGTGGTTCTCCCACCAACGGCACAGAGGTGGGGGCAGGCAGATCCTGGCAGCACCTCGACAGGGACCAGGGCAGTGGCCTGGGTTAGCCGTGGACGGTGTTGCAGCAGTGACAGGAGGCGGGTGTCATTAAGGACCTTGGGGATGGAGCAGTGACGGTGTATTGCATCCCCACTGCTGCCGTCACAGCATGGTGACATCCTGTGTGACAGGGTGGGAGGCGGGGGAGAGGCATGTCTGCGCACTCGGGTGTTTTGGTCTGTCTCAAGGAACGGGGTCTGTGGGGCTGGGCTGTGGGCGCAGCTTTTCTCGGCTTCGCTGGAGAAAGTGACTGGCCGACAGTGGTTATTCTAACCTTAGTATTGGGCAGATGTTTTCGCAAATAAACCCATGAAAACAATGGACTGTGTGGCCAGTGGTAAAATTTAAGATTTCAAAAGCAAAAACTGGAATTGGGGAAAGTTGTCACCACCATTGTGAGCCCGTCAGCTTCTCATTTCCTGAAGACTTTTCTTATGAGATTGTGACTGTTTCACACTGTGACAAGATGGAGTAAACCTGATGCGACCGAGCGTCAGTCTTCGGGTATCTGCGTCAGCCAGCGCGCGGTGCGCCCCCTGCTGGGGCCCCGCAGCGTCTCCCGTCAGGAGTGATGTCACAGCGCACGTCTGGTTGCCCCTGTGTGTGCGGCAGCTTGAAGCCCCCCAGAGCAGGGCGCTGAGACAGACGCCTCGTGGACAGGGTGGAAGCAGTCGTGTCACGTGATGGGGGCAGCCCTGCCTCCAGTGCCTGCCATGCAGGTGGTGGTCTCCCTGGAGAAGGGAGTTCAATCAGGGCCTGATAGGGAGGAGCGGGGGGAAGGGCGCCATGGATGCGGGACCAGGATGTGCTCCAAGTGAGGACAGCAGCTCGGAGCGCTGGGGTCCCCGAAGGGGCGGTTCGGTGTGACTGTGGCTGTGCTGGGGTCAGAAGGCAGGGATCCTGGTGGTTGTGGCTTGGGGGCACTTCAGTTGCTCACGCTAGTTCTCAGCCCAGGGTGGCTGGCGGACCTCTGCCTCCGTCCTCGACCTGTAAGGTGGGCGTCAGAGCAGCAGTCTGCCTGCGTCGGGGGCGGGGTGGCCTGGCAGTGGCCACAGGAGTGACCAGCGGGCGCTGCTGCCGGCTCTTCGTTTTCCTTGCTCTGCTGGCCTGAGTCTTAGTGTAAAGTTACTTCTGTAACGGGCATTGACAGATTGTACACATTTAAAATTTATTTTGGATTGTGCTTTTGTGTCAGCTTACAAATTAGTTTTGCTTTCCTTTTGTATTTTTAAAACTTAACACAGATTGAAAATTTTTTTAGTACCTTCAAACATTTACTTATTTATTTTGGTAGGGGGAAATAATTTATCCTTAGAGGAGGTACCAGTCTTGAACCCAGAACTCACACGTGCAGGGCACGTGCTCTGCCACTTGGGCTGTACCCTCCCCCCCTTAACACAGAGTTGAAGGTAGCATTTAGGAAAACCTTCTGAGCCTTTATTATACATGACCTTTGGCTCTTGAAAAATAAAAAGCCCTTTTTGGTGTCTTTTCCTCCATTACATCAGACTCCAAGGCAGCACGCCGTGTCTTGCTGACAAGGGATGCAGTGTAAGCTTGGCTCAACCTGAACTTTTTAAACGTCTCACGTCTGTTGTGGGCTCTGCGGAGACAACACCCGCACGGCGTCTGCGGCTGCTGTGACTGGCAGCTGTTGATTAATGCTGCTTTTCTCTCGTTAGAGATTTGGAGAGGACTTTGTTACTCATCCCGCAGTCCTGCTCTCAGATGGACTCTGCTGTCTTTAACTTCGCTCTCCTTACCTTCCCGAGATCTGCGTGTTTAGTACAGCAGCCTGCATACTAATGAGGGCTTTTACTTCTTTTTCAGATTATTTTTGATGAAAAAACTTAAAGAAGTAACAGATAAAAAGAAGACTAGTCTCCTGAAAAACATAGACGAGAAGCTCACAGAAGCAGCCCGAGAACTGGGGTTCTCCCTGGAACAGAGGAGCATGAAGATGCGACAGAGAGATAAGAAGGTGCGATCTGGGTCTGGCAGCTCCATGCTGCTGTGTTAATAGGGGTTTTTCCTCTCGATCCCTGCCCAACATGGGCCCCTCCAGGGCTGCCCAGCACCTGCCCCGGGAGGGCCTGTGGGTCATCAGCTGGGCTGGGCCACGGGACGTGGGGCTGCAGAGCTCAGGCTGGTGCTACCCACTCTTGAATTTGGATTGACCAGCTACTCATTTCACAGATGAGTAAAGGCGTCTTTGTATGCAATGTTTATTTAAATTTGTTTAATGGCTAAGGTCTGTTGCTCCTGTGCAGGGAGTTTGAGGGGGTAGGTTTGTGAAGGTCTGCCTTAAAGCCTGTGTAGTTGGCCCCTCAGGGCAGGGGGCTCCTGAGAGACGGTGCATCCTGGGACACGGGAAGTTTCTCCGGGGAAGTGTGCACCAGCAGTCCTCTCTCGGGGATGTATCGAGCCTGTCGGTGTTTCTTTTTGCTTCTCCCCTAAATGCCAGCAGTGTGAGTGGAGCTCTGCAGACAGCAAGTACTTCTGGGTTTTGGATCCTTTGGGTTTGTCACTTATGAGTGTCAGAGCAAGTCAGCAGAGAAGCTGGAGGAATTCTGCTCTGGGGTAAATGAGGACTCTGCAGTTCATCCTTAAAACCTCTGGGTGGAGGGACATTTATCCCCGGAGCGCGGGTGCCCAGTCTCTCCTCCCGCTCCCCGCTGTCCCCCGCGTCTGGTCCATCTGGTCAGTCTAGTCCGAAAAAGCTTCAGTTCCCCCGGTATATACAACTTAGCGATCAGTCTCTGTGTGCGACAGTAACACCCGCGTTGTAGCGTGACCCGTCCTTGCCAGTGCTGCTCCGACCAGTCTCTGGTCTTTCCCCCTGATGTGTATAAAATGACCTGTTGCTGTTTTCATCAGCTTCTCTTTGATTGTAACGGACGTTAGTTCTCATTTGTCTGTCCTTTGTGAACTGCCTGACCCACGTCCATTTTCCTGTCAGGTCAGTGTGGTCTCTTCCTGTGTTTTGATCTGGGTGTCAGTCTTCTGCGTCATCTGTAAGACTCACTTTATAGTTTAAAGGTGCTAATCTTCATTGGCTTTATTGTTATGTGTATATGTTGCATCGTCTTCATCAGCTAATTTGTCCTGATGTTGTTCTTGGTTTTCACTTGAGCTTCTTTAACGTAGTCAAACCTGGAAGCCTTTTCCTTCTCCAGCCCCAAATCATGAAAGTGTTTGCCTTTTCTTTTAGTAGTTTCATGGTTTTACATTTAATCCTGAAATCCAACTGCAAGTTATGTTGGTATTGAGAGTAAAATACAGCATAACGATGACTTCGTCTGTTTTTCCCCAAATGGTGAGCGGTTGTCTGGGAACTAGGTTTGAATAACTGTCCCCTCTGTCACTTGGTTAGAGGCTGTGGTCGCGCCTGGGTCTGTCTGTGAGAATTCCCACTTTGTGGAAGCTCACTGGTTCGTTATGGTTAGTTATTTGTCTCCATAAAGGGCACCGCAAAACGAGCACCTGCCTCACTTCGGGGCAGTTAGCTCACAGGTCAAAATGGGGGCCTGAGTTTCACCGGATGGAGAGGAGTTCGTTCCTCATGTCCCTGCTGACAGCCGTGCCGCCACCTCCCGGGCCCAGCTCCTCGGGGCTTCTGCCCAGGAGACCCCTGGGCCTGGAGTGGAACCCCTGCCCCTCCCTCCTCCTGTGATGGGGTGCGCTGCCCCGGGCGCCCCCCAGCAAACAAGTGCACAGGATCTCACTGTCACTCACCTCCAGGGCTCGACCTCTCGCTTGTTGTAAAGAAAAGAATGTTACGCTTTTGCCCTGGGTCCAAACTGACTGAAATGCGAAGGCGCTGAGTGTTCTGACACGAGGCTTGAGGGATGTGTGTGTGCTTTGTTTTGGGGGGTTTCTTCCCTGTGTTGTTTTTGTCTGTTTACCACGACTACATTTTTTTTCCTTTTATTTAGGTCGTGACAAAGAGCTTTCACGGGGCAGGCCTGGTTGTCCCAGTGGACAAGAATGACGTTGGGTACCGAGAGCTCCCCGAGACGGATGGTAGGTGTCCCTTGCGGAGTGTGTTAATAGGGGCTGTCCTGTACTGATTGCAGGGTGCACACGGGCCTTCTGTGGGACGGTCCCCGCACCTTGATGGCGAGGAGCTCGGCTTCCTAGGGTCTGAACTGAAGCTGTTGGCAGCTGTGTAATCTTGACAGGTTGCTGCAACTTACTAAGCCGCATCTCCTTCTCTGTGAACGGTTGATGGCGAACACCCTTCAAAGGGGTTGGGTGCTTAGCGCGCTACTCGCCTGGCAGCAGAGGCGTTAGGTGCGCAGGTTCAGAGAATTCTAACCTATCATCTTGCTGACGCGGCTGAACTGTTTGAGAGCCTTTGACGTTAGAGTCAACTTGTGATGCAGTCATGACTGAACAGCATGTAAGTCCTTTGTGAGAAGCTCTCATCTGTGTGGTTTAACTTTTAGAAGCTTGTTTGGCTTTTGGAAGCCCAAGATCCTGAACTTCTCTGTGTGTAAGTGTAAAACCTCTTTGAAAATGGGCTGTTCACATACAAAATCTAATTGTTGGAATGCTGAAGAAAGGGGGTAAGCGGGTTCCCGGCGCTCTCCCCGGCCCTCCTCTCTCTCGTACCGGGAGCAGCCGCCTTGGCATTCTCTTACTCACCATCCTGTTTCGGGGCGTGGAAGTCAGGGAAACCCAGTCAGACAAACCCAGTCAGACTTCCTCAAGGAAGAACCAGGCGCCCCCGTCCCGCACCTCCAGCACCGGCCCCTGCTTCTCCCAGCTGTGCTCCCGGCTGTGGCTGACCTGCCGCTGGGGAGGCTGTGCCGCGTGGGAGCCCCAGGCCACACATGGTCACCAGCACCCCACCTGTGGCTGCTGCAGCTTGGCTGAATTTGTAACTCAGCTTATTTTAATCCATTTAAATGTAAAATGTGCAGCACTGTTTAGTTTTTCTTACACTGTAGAAATGATACTGTTCTGGATATACTGGGTTAAAGTAGATATCGTAAAATTAATCTCACATTTCTTGATACGGATGCTACAAAGAGTCAGGTTGCACGTGTGGCCTGCGTTCCACTTGCTGGCCGGGCTGACGTGTCCCGTGTCTCCCCCCAGAAGCTGGCGGTGGAGGGGTCTGCCTGCCCACCACGCTCCCATCCCCCCATCACCTGTGCTGCAGGAAGAGCCCCGCTCCCTGCCTTGTTTGGGAGCGTGGAGAGGGGCGCCTTACCGAGGTCACGGTCCGCAGGACGTCGGGTGCACAAGACACCCAGGGCCCTGGAGCCGGCCCGTTACCCCGTGTGTGGTGCTGGCTGTTACGTCCGAGCTCGTTTGTATTTACTTCTTTCTTCTAACGCTGTAGACATGAGAGCCCCCTGTGGTTTAATTACCGTGAGTGAGGAGTGGTGGCAGGACCTGGCGTCCTGCTCTCGCCTCGTGTTGTCTACGGGAGCTGTGCGCCCGCGTCAGGTCTCCATTGAGTTTGTCCCTCTTACACATAACGCATTGACCTGGCTGGTGAGGTGCTGTTTATGGGCGTCATGGTTGATGATGCCCGGGGCGGGGGCCACAGCGGCGTTCAGTCCTACCCAGGCCCTCCATGGCGGGTCTTGTTCTTGGGGACCGGGGACCTGCTCTGACTGGAGCCCACCAGCGGCGGGGCGACTCTGTGCCCAGCCAGGTGGGGTGGTGGCCAGGAGAGGAGACGACGAGGCTCCTGCATCACAGAGTGTTTGCAGGGTCATATGTCAGGCTGCTTGGGCCCTGGTCAAGCGGGACTTCTGTTACCTGACCTCTTGTAGACGCTCACAGGTAGAGGAACGAATTTGCCCTCATGCCAGGGTGACCTCAGCGCCTCCATCTCTGTCCTTACTGGGTCTGTAGTCTGGTCACCGTCCACATGTGACTTGCCAGGGTGAACACAGAAAACATGACATCAGGATACATTGGTAGGGGTACAGCGTGTGCCTAGCAAGCACGAGGTCCGGGGTTTGGTCCCCAATGCCTCCATTAAAGTAAATAAACAAATAAATAAATACAGCCTAATTATCCCCCGCAAAAGTGATACACTCTCAGTTATCTGCTCACAGAGGACAAGCGGGTCCTCACTGGGTGCCGAGCCTGCGGGGTTCTGAGGCCGCGTCCCCGTGGGCGCGGGGGGAGCCGCCTCCACCCTGAGCGATATTTCTGAAGGAAGCTGGCCGGATCAGCCTCCTTGCAGTGACTGGCGTGGATTTTTTCCTGGAGAAGAGCGTGAACTTCATGAAGCTTACGTAAAATCACTTTTAAGAGGTTTCAAAGCAATAAATGTCCTGTTTATGGTCAGGAACAGAGGTGACAGGCAGCATCTGTCCAGTGTAGAGGTGACCTGCTGTGGCAGGGAGGGGACAGTCTCACTCCAGGACCAACACAAGCAAGCTGTGTGGCATCAGCGCCGAGTGACGTGGGTGGCGCCCGGGCCCTGAGATTAATGCCCTGGCGAGCCTCACCGCTGTCATCAGCAGACAGTGTAGTTGGTATTGCAATAGCATTGTGCCTTGGGCCTGAAAATGGTGTCATGGGTGCCAGGCGTCACCGCTCACGTCTGGCCCCATGTGGCTTGTGTCCTGCTGCTCTGAGTGGCAGGCGTCCTGCTCCATGTCCTGCACCACGGGGAGCCTCGTCTGGTGGGAGGGAGGAAGCCCGGCCCGGTTCGGTGGTTCAGGTGGGAGCTGGCGCACGCTGGTGTCCAGAAGTAGCAGACAGGCTGAAAGCCGAGACACAAACCCTGAGCCGCCTGGCTCCGTGTAGGTTGATGCTCGCAGGTCTCTCTGCTCGGGCCTCAAGTCACACTGCGGCCGTGGCCCACCTGCCCCGCTTTGGTGAGTGTTCTGGTAAAGGGTTAATTCCACGGTGAGTTCTTGTCTCTTACATCGTCTTTTTCTGTGCTATTGTCGATCTGGATTTTTTAAATCCAGCACCTAGTATGGACGAGCCCAGGGATGGGCTCCCTGTGTTCTGTCACCATGCTGGTTTTGGTTTCAACCGTTTAAGGATGGAAGCACATTCTCATCTTGAGGGCAGCTACAGTCAGGGCGGCCAGGGTGGGCCATGGCTGCAGCCCCCGGACTAGCCTGGGGGAAATCTCTGCGAGCTTGTGCAGTGTGGGATGGCAGCGTGACCCGCTGCAGAGTGGTCACACTCGGCGAGCACGTGGTCCCTCCGTGGTTAACTAAGCCACTTCCTTGCCTTTGAGTCTGAAGTAGAAAAATAATAAAATTGCCGTTGTGGAGCTGTGCTCGGGCGGTCACAGGAGGAGAAACCCAGCTTTCGTCCTGTGAGGGTGGTGACAGGAAGCCTGTCTTCGGTGTTTTTCAGCCAGCCTCAGGAGGATCTGCAGGACCATCGCCGAGGCGCCCAGTGACGACGAGAGACTCAGGGCGTTTGCACCCGTTCAGGAAATGGTGACGTTCGTGCAGTTTGCTAACGATGAATGCGACTACGGGATGGGGCTGGAGCTGGGGACCGACCTCTTCTGTCATGGTTCCCACGTGAGTGACGACAGCCCTGCCCACTTCTGTCCCCAGGTCCAGCACGGGTGGGGTGTGGACGCAGCTTGAATTTCAAAACGGACTTGTGGACATGATTTCTAAGCAGATGTTCCAAAACTTTTTCATTTGACATTCATCTTGTGTTCCGGCCAAGGTGAAGGAATGAGGTTTTTGCCTCCAGGTTTACGTTACTGACTTTACTCATCAGCTGTGTAGACAGCCGTGCCCTTCAGTGCCGTGGGGCATGCGGGTCCTGGGCCCCATTGCACTGTCTAGGGGGGTTGTTCCTGTGCTCGAAGTCGTAGGTGAAGGGGAAGCGCTACTTTGAAGTCTGTCCTCAGGGTTTAAAACGCAGGAGGTGCCGTTTCATGTGTCCATTCGCTCGTTAAGGAGGGAAAACCTACTTTAGAGTTAAACCAGCGGTGACTCAGCTGCCCCGGTCTCCGGCTCAGAGAGCAGCGAGGGTGTGGGTGCTGACGCCCCGTCACACCCTCCCGGGGCCCGAGGACATCGTTCTCACCGTCCTGCTCAGTCCACATGGCGTCCCCGTCTCGTCAGGTGCCAGGGGTCCCAGAGACACTGAACAGGGGCCCTAGGGGCTTTCTGAGCACAGCTGGGCGCCCCACACCCCAGGTGTCACTGGGTTCCCGATGGGTCCTGAGCATCGCGTTTCTGGGAAGTTACTGGGTCAGGCTGAGGCCGCTGCCCGGGGGCCCGTCTGGGGGACTGCACCCTTCTCAGGGGGGCGCTTTCAGTAAACAGCCACAGCGGTTAACGGCCAGGAAGCGTGAGCCAACCTAGCAGCCCATCAGCGCTCAGGACGCGTCGTCACAGGCGCACTGAGGTTTCCTTGGAGAGTGGACTGACAGCAGTCGTCTGGGTCCCTTGATAAACCTTAGGCAGTGACTTTCGGGACGGAGGGTTACAGGAGACAGCGGGCAGGGGTGGAGGTCGTACTGACAGTCGGCTCACAGACAGAGCCTGAACTGCAGGGACTGACTGCAGAGAAGGGAAAAGCATCTGAGCATATCTGGGGCAAAAATGGGTTGATGAACCTTATTTAAGGGAATTGGGAAGCTAAAAATTTAACTTGGTTTTCTGCGTTTTCCTCAAGACAGGCCGCCAGTCCTGTGGGCCCGGGGCCGACGGCCGGGGCCGGCGGGAGCTCACTGCCCTGACGGGGGAGGCGCTTCAGCCCCCATCTGGGCTGTTCCATGAGTGCTTCTCCAGAGGATTTTCTGCCGAGTCTTCTTCTTAATGTTTCCTCCTTTTACTTTTCAGTATTTTCATAAAGTTGCTGGCCAGCTTTTACCTCTTGCATATAATCTGTTGAAGAGGAATCTCTTTGCAGAAATTATCGAAGACCACCTGGCACACAGAAGTAAAGAGGACGTGGACCAGCTCGCAGCGTGAGCGCAGTGGCCTTTCTTGGGTGTACAGTATTTTGAAGCGTTAGTATTAGATGTGACTTTTGTTTTTAAGGAATACAGAAAATAAATCAATGGAAACACTTTTATAAAGCTCTTCTGGCTTAGTTCTTCATGTGCAGCCAGCCGTCTGAACGTGCTGCTCCAGTCAGCTCCTCCAAGATGTCAGTCACCTCCTGATGTCTGCGGAGGGGGAGACGGCCTTCTCCTCCCAGGGGCCCCGAGTCCGTGGCCAACACGTGGGCAACGAGGCATCTACGCTCGAGACCTGAGTTAGTAAGAGCTGTCAGCCTGCCCCAGTGGGTGTGGCCTTGCAGGCGGCTCTCCTGCGGCTCAGTCTGTGCTTAGCAGCTGATACAGCACAGCACCCTGATACAGGATGTGCGCAATATACCATCAACTTACACACTAAACTCTTCTGCCGCAGATGACCCGACTGGCTTTCCGTGCAGTCTGTGGATAGCTGCGTTGTCCCGAGTCAGATCCCTCTTACACCTGACAGGAAGTCCTTCACCTTACACACTTGCTCTGGGCTGGGCCAGAGAGCTGGTTACAGTGTTAACCTCTTGGGGTTCGTGGTGGAGAAGCCCTCGGGTCTCCCTTTTTGCCCCCATTTTGTAGAAGACTGACTTGCCCTGCCCAGAGAACTCTGGTTGAAGAGTCTCCAAAGTTACGTACCGTCAGCTGCGTCCTTAAAACAGATCTGAGATGTGTCCTCATCGTGATAAAAGAGGTGAGTAGATGGTTAAGAAACACTTCCAGTCAGGACTTTCAATATGAGCACGAGTCTCACTGGTGCGGCCATGAGCTTCTCACGGATGGTACGTGTACTTGCTCCCTTCGGTAACAAACCTCTGACCGTATGTGTATTTGCTAAAGAAAGGACCCTTCTCGCTCAGTGCCAGGTAAAGCCAGACTAGCAGGGTGTGGGGAACTTCTGCTGAGACGCCAGAGCGTTAGGGAGTCCTGGCTGCCAGGGTCAGAGGCCTGTCTGCTCCCTGTCCCCCCCAGGGCCGTGCTGCCTCTGGGCAGTTCAGATGCTGCTTTGAGGACCAAAAGTCTGGCTGAAGATCTCCCGTCCCTTCTGCTACATACGGGAACGTTTGTGCTGACCGGGAATGGGGGGGGGGATCAGGTTTTCAGAGCGGCCACATTCCAGGTACATGCCAGTCTCCCCGCAGGTCCTGGACCTGTCTGGGCTAGGAGCTGGTTTATGGTCACATGTTTGGCCTTAAATAATCTAACCTTTTAAAGAAACTCTTGCACTTTCCCCTCGGATTTCAAGTTTCCAGGGTACTTGTCACACAAGGGCGGCGCTTGGAAATGGTTACACACAGACCTTAAGTACCGGTCAGTTTCCGTTTCCTCCACTGAAGCGGTCCACCCAGCCTGGAACTCGAGATGCCTGTGACTTGGCTATTTGTTGGTCCAACAGCCTCAAATGTAACTCTCTTAAAATATGCCTGTGGTCAGTAACAGGGATTTGAACAGGATTTCTTAACAAGGAACAAGTGGAAGAGGGGAAAAGTTCAGCTTTTCATCCACTCCTTACACAAACCTGAGTCCAAATCTTTGGACAGCTGGGAACATGAGAGCCAGGAGACAATCTGGACACTGGCGCCGAGAACGTGGCCATTACCAGCTGGGTCCGCTAGGTGTGAGGAGAGCTTCCCAAGGCCAAGAGCGAAATAAAGCCCCTTCCCGGCTCCAGGCCCAGCCAGGGGTCAGGGAGCTGGTGACGCGCTTCAGGAGGGGCTGACCAGGACGGCACTGGTGCTCCCAGGGTGAGCTCCCACCGCCAGCACCAGGCCTCCCTCCCTTCCCTTCTCCCTGTGCAGACCGCGTGGTCCTCTGGAACCTGGCTTATGTGGTATTTCTACCTACCGTCCAGTCACTTGTAACTTCCAAACGCCACCTCCCACCTCTGTTCTCTGAGGACGTGTTTCAAGTGCCTGGGCACTCTCGTGAACAAAGCACCTTGACCCAATAAGGATGGAACGAAATCATCGCTCAACTCAAATTCAGCTAAGCTCACACCTGGAGCTTAAAAACAGCTTTTTCTATACAGCCTCTCAAACACCCACGTAGAGTGGCACACCCAAGGAAGAATGACAGCTATAAATGTCTCCTGCATCAGTGCAAACCGCTCCTGTCATGGTGCCTGCAGGTCTGTGTCTGTGCAGGCCACCCTCCCAGTCACCCCGAGCCCTGCAGTCTGCTCTGAGGGCCGCTGCCCCGCACCTTCCTCCACCCTCAGCTTCTCCCCCAAGGAAGCAGAAGCCGGCAAGCTGCCTGCTCTCCGCCACGCTTGGCCTCCTCACCCCGTGAACCCCTCCTGCTACTCAAGGACCCCTCTTCTCTCAGAATCAGTTTCCCCCTCGAATATTCCTACTGTTAAAACAAAAAAATTCAAATGAGTAGACGCTGGAGACCTTACTGGCTTTATTCAGTGAATTGGGCAGCACCTCATCCTGCAAGAGGAAGGAGCTGGGAGGGGCCGCACAAAACGGATGGATGCCCTGCACAGGCAGGGGACGGGGAGGGGCTGTCGGACGGAGGCAACTGCCCGCGGTGGGCAGGGGGCTGTGGCTGCTACCTCACTGGGCTGACCGGCCACCAGGCGGGGTCCTGGTTTGGGGGTTGACACAAGGGACTCCATGTTTGGCCTGTTAAGTCGTTAACACCATCAACAGAAGCTGTAAGAAAGATTCTGCATCTTGGAACAGTCTCTGTCACACACTCCTTTTCTGAAAACTAACAGCTGTCTCTAGCCCTTCCAGTCTCCCGCAAGCCATTGTAATCAGACCCCAGCCTGACCCCACTGAACCTGCTCCGGTCAGGTCATCAGGTATCTGCACAGTGGTCGATTTCCGGTCCTCACTGACCGGACCTATGGGTGACCGTGACCCCTAGGCCCAGGGGACCACCCCTCCTTAATGGGACCCCAGATCTGAACACATGTCAGGGCCACCCTGTCCGCCCAGCCCCGTGGTGACCTTGTCCTGCCCCGGGGCCACACCACCCACACTTTCTTCTCAGGCTGGACCTCTCTCCCAAACCCGCATCTCGGATGGACCATTACCCACCTGGAAGCCCACCCAAGTCTACCAGCTGCTCCAAACTGGACGTCCAGAGCCCAGCTCCTCTGCACACAGCCCAGACCTACTTCCCTGAAGTCCTCCACAAACCAGGCGGCCCCTAGTGCTGCAGCTGAGAGCCTCGGAGACATGACTCTCACCACCCAGCGCCACCCTCGGCCAATCCAACCCCACAGCCGCGCCCTCTGCCCAGTCAGGCGGCACCTCCACCGTGTCCAACCCGACCACCCAGAGCCTCAAAACTGGTGACCCCCCCACCGCCTACACCCAGAGCAGCCTGGTGGTTACCGGAGCTCAGATCACATAGCTTTTCTGCCTCACTAGCTTCCCATTTTATTCAGGAAAAGAGCCAAATTCCCATCCCAACTCAGTCCTGCCCTTACGCCTCTCCCCCACCAGCCGCAGGGACCACACGTTTCTCCAACCTGTGGGCGATCTGACCCCAGGACGCCTGCAGGTCTGACTTCCTCCTCGGGGAAGATGCCGCCCACAAACAGCTGTGTGGGTGCTTCATGCCTTCATGTTTCTGCTCAAATGTCACCTTGTCCCTCCCTGAGGCCATCCTCCCCACCACCTGGGTTTCCCCATCAGCCTGGGAACCCCTAATCATGCACACGGTTGTTTAAACACACGTTCTCACCAGGGGCCTGTCTCCCTCCCGGGGCGTCAGTGGGGGACACACTCAGTGCTTGGTCCACACCGAGAAGACAGCAGCTCATCCCGAGGGAAGCTGGGCCCTGGGGCACTGCCCCACGCTCTCCACAATTCCACCACCACCACCACCACCACCACCTGCGTCAGGCAGGTCTATGTGCAAACCTCCGAGGTAATTCTTAGAAACACCATGCAAACACTTACATGTTGTCTGTGTTTCTGACAGCAAACCGCAGCACGATGGTCCTGCCTGCCGGCCGTTAACCTGCGTCTGCCCCGGCCGCCCCATGTTTGTGGAGGACGGAGCCGGCTGGAGCGGGCGGGGCCCAGGGCGGCAGCGGACATGGGTTGTTACCCATGTAATCAAAGGCCAAACCACACATTGTCGTACAGAGTTTAATAGGTTTTCTGATGGACTCACCACAGTAACCATTATTACCGTGATGACAGGCAGCTCTACTACACTAGTGTAAATAAAAACAGAAAACACAGCTCCAGGCAACATCACAGATGAACAAACTATGCATTCTCCATGAACCAAACTGAAAACAGTGTTAGGAAGGAGAGGTGCCGACACCCTCACCCACTCTCAGGACGCCTTCTCTGAAGGGTGGGCAGACGAGGCGCTCCGCCCGGCCGCTGGGGAGCCGCCCTGGGCCAGGCACGCACATCATGGTCTGCAGTGAAAGGCAGACACACCTCAGTGCAGGACAAGAGGTGAAACAGAGCGACCCGGAGACGCCCCTGAGCTTTGCAGATGGGCCCCTCCCGGGTCTCAGCAGGAAGACAAGGGACAGAAAGACCCAGAAGGAGATCAGCCCGACTCTCCACCCCGAGAGGGCAGCGTCTGAAGCAGCAGGAGTGACCAGAGGAGGACCTGGAATCGGAAAGCACACGTGGAGACGACCCCGCGGGCGGGACGTCACTGGGCCGCCGGCCGCACTCCGGCCGCACCTCTCGTGCAGAGGAGACAGGGCCAGCGCCCAGCAAGGACTTCTCTCTGGATGGCCACGAAGAAAACGGGCAGTCGGCCAAAGGGGAGCAACGGGGACAGAATACTAATCGTAGGCAGCGAGCAAACTAAGAATGCTTCACAAAATCCCTAAAATTTTACTCGACTTTCAGCTGTCTTTCTAATATGGCTTCATGATCTGATAAATCTCCAAGACCGTAAAGATCCTCTGTGATCTCACAGATCTTACAGATACACTATTATTATTATTAAGAACGAGGAAGTGAAGAATCACCTCCAAATGTAAAAACAGCTCATTGCCAGTTGTGTTTCAGAAAATGTCTGCAAAAATCCATTTTGCTACCAAAAATGCATAATCCAGAATTTTTAGGCCAGTCCTTCAAGCCTTTGTCCAACAGTGAATTAAGACCATGATGAAGATAGGTATTTCCAAAACCAAAAATTCCAAACACATCCCAGTATATTTTCAGTTCATCCTGAAAAAAAGTACACTGTGGATTGAAAGCATCCCTGGATACACAGCGTGACCTACCCAAGGATTCAAAGGCTCCGCTCAGACCAACGTTTTCACTGCTACCTCTGCAGTGCTACTGTTTTCACTTGATTTTTTTTTAAAGGTTGACACTATTTAACTTTTGGTTTTCATCTGCAAAATGATTTGTAATGATTCAGCTTCTCCCAGTTAATGAGTCAAAATGGACAGGTCAGAAGACCACCCAGGGGATGGCAGTGAAAGATCAGAACAAGGTTTCTGTGCACATCTGATCACAGAGAAATCATCCAACCACGTCCGAAACCCCTGTTCCCACCGTAAACTTTTGTTCCTATCTCAGTATTTGTAAGTCTGAATTAGTTTATAAAAATCACATTAAAAAGGTAAAATTATTTAAGTGTGATACTAACTGATCTGTAGTTTATAAATTTTAATCCATAAAAATATAAATAAGAATGGTAAATTTTTAAGAAAGAAATATACATTTAGTGCAAGTTATGAAGTACATTTTCCTCTTCAGTGTCAGCAGTAAAATACCTTGAGGCAAGGAAAAAAAAAAAGACTGATCTCATTTCAAGAGAAAGAAAATTCCAGTGTTTAACACATGCAATTCATACCAGGTACAGCTACACAGAACTCCTCCTCCTCATCGCCGTCAAAGCAGCAGCATCCCGCGTCCCAACGCTCCGCAGCACGCGTGGTCACGGGAGCCTCAGACAGAGACCCGCGTGAGGCCAGGCCGCATCACCCATCCAGCCAGAGGGGGAAGAGTAAGCGGACTCCGCTTATCCTCACAAGCCCGGCTAAACCGCTGCTGACTGAACCACACGCAGCACATGAGCGAGAGATTCCGTGTCTCCATCAACAGACTGCCCCTGTCCCGTCAGCCTGCCGCGGTGCGTGTGATGACGCTCCAAGCATCGCGCTGTGTAGACCACGCGGGTGATGGCACAAGAAACACGCCCTTCCTGTGATGAAACCTCAGTCAGGTCACAGTACATCTCAATATGAGAAAGGACTGCTTCAAAGGGTGTACACCAAGTTAGAGAGGCTTTGTTACAGCTGGGGGGGGCGGGGAGAAAAGCTCCTCTGGAATGTAGAAAGGAAATGCTCTAACCCTACACGTCATGAGTTAAACTCAACAGTTTTGATAAAAAAAGAGCAATTCGCTGCAGTCTTAGAGATGGCTCAGTTCAAAGTAATCCCCCCAGAATCGGGGACCAAGGGCGCAGGTTGGGATGCAGGAGGGCAGGCCAGGCACTGGGCCTGTCCGTCCGCGGAGCCTGGGCCGCAAGCATCCGGCTCAGAAAGGAGAGACGTGCTGCTCTCCGGGGACGGGGTGAGGCCTCGCCCGCTTCCCTCTCCTCTCCCTCCCCAAAGAGCTCCTCCGTTCCACCGCGGTATTTGTGAACCACACGGCAAAGGCCCGGCTTTGTATTCCTTCTTCAGGGGGAAAGCGAGGCGGCCATGCCCGGTCAGAGCGCTGTGCTGTCCAGCAGACGGGCCTCCTCCTCCGCCCCCTCGCGCTGCTCCTGCGCGGCGCTCAGTTGAACATGATGGAAGCGGGATCTTGGTTTGCCGTCTGGGCCATATGACGGAGGATATCTTTTTTTGTTATGATACCAAGGAGGCGCCTGAAAAGGACAAAAAGAAAGCTGTTAAAATAAAAAGGAAAAGGAAAGAGAAGCTACGTCCAGAGCTACATCCTTTCTGTTGACAGGAACAGAGCAAAGCAAGCAGCCTGATTCTCTATTTTCAAGAAGCATTTTCTCGGTCAGAGAATGAAATTACCCAGCAGCCATTCTGAGGGAGCAAGTACTGCCGCCACACCCAGGACAGCGGCCTGCCCTGAGCAGAGGACCGCGCCCTGCCGCGCAGAGCTCTTCTGATTAACGGTGCCAACGGGAAGGGACAAACAAGGGAAGATGCATGAGTACGAGAGGACACCGATCCCAGTCGAGAAGGAAACTTCATTCCCACCACCACTGAAGTCTGCCGTCTTAAAAGCCAAAAGTAACTGAAAAAAGGTAACTTAAAGACGGCCCAGTTCTAAGCAGAGTCTTCATGAAAGCACGTTCAGCTGAGATAGAGCGCAGATTAAATCGTCAACATAGAGTTTCAATTCCAAATTTCAGAGCCCTGAGAATAACTCTACAAGACAATCCAAGTTTCTCGTCCAGTCATCAACGTCTTCCTTTTCTTGATTTTGGTTCAGACACAGTGCTTTTATGAAAGTCTTGGCTGTTAATGCTGACATTAAAAAACAGGTGAGAAAAATCAAGCAGCAGCCTGCAGTGATGATTACAGATGAAGCAGAAAGCAGAATGAATGAGGAGCTACTTATTCTGGTTAGTGGTTTTTCAGAAAGGAACCATGAAACGCTGTGTAGTGTCAGCATACAACAGGGCTCTGGGGCAGCTGGGACTGGTGTCATGGAGGTATGACCTCCGTGGGGCAGGATAACCGCGGGTGTTAACTGCTGCGGCCAGCAACCGGTAATTCACAATTATCTCTAGTCATGAATCCACCAGGACAGAAAGCCAGTGACGACAAATGCACGGGGCCCTCGACGCGGCCAAAAGCCTTCCGGAGACAGCGCACAGAGTGCACAGAGCCCAGGCGTTCCCTGACGACAGGGCAACACGTAGCACTGGCTCCAGGGGTGCAGGGTAGGCGGACGTCACGGTCAGACACGGACGGACACGTCCACTCTGCTCCCGTGCCGCCAGAGCCCGCCCCGCTGGCAGTGACCCCGACCCTGCTAAGCTGGAGACAAACCACGTGTGAGCTGAGACCCCCCCACCACCACCCCGAGACGGGAGACAGACACGGGCGGGATGTTCTGAGCAGACGGGGCGTCCGCGAGGCAGACACCTGCTGTCTAACTGTAAGGATGTCCAAAAGCAGACTCCTCCACCTCCCACACTGTCTCCAGCCCTTAAATCCAACTAACGGTCCAGCCACGCCCACCGCGGCCACTCCCAGGCCACGGCCGCCCAGACTTAGCTACCCAGCAGCCCAGCCCGGGGGCCTCACGGGCCAGAGGCAGCGGACAGGTAGGGGGACAGTCACAGTTTCAACCTCCTGCCCTGGCTCTGTCTAACGGATCGTCTGCTCAGCGGTGTGTGTGGAGGGAGGTGACAGTCCCAGGTTGTGCCCCGGCCCTGGGCTGAGGGGCAGGCTGACAAGGAATCACCAGGGGCTCGGTGCGCCGCGCCAGCTCCTCCAGGTGCTCTACCATGTTCTTCTTTGTGATGATCCCCAAGACAGTCCTGAAACAGACCACGTGATGCAGATAACTGCGCGAGAACTCAAGCCACATGCGCCTCCAACCACACCCACAAAGGAGAGAGAAGATTAACACACGCGCCAACTGTAGGAATGCTTTAGCGAGCTTTAGAAATGCTGTGAAGTCCCAGGTCCCACTGCGCAAATTCTCCTGACTTGCAAAAGTGGCTTGATACTCTTTTTTAAATACTGGTGGGTGGTTTGCCTTTTTAAAATAAAAATCAAAATGATGAAAGTTACAATGAAGGTGCCCACAGAACAATTACAGAAGAACAGTGTCAGTGCACAGCTCAAAGAGCCTGACATGCAGCTTCGTCCTCAGTGTCCTCTCCTTAGAAGAAGGCGTCTCTCCAACATCCCCCGCATCCCTCGCGGCGCTGCCCCCATCGACCTCCGCGGGGAAAGGCGGCAGGAGGCTTAACCTTCTCCTGTTCCGCCACCGCCTCCCGCCTATCAAGAGACTTACGGGACAGCTTGGACTTAACTATTACTTGGAGTTAAACAATGTGCACAAAGTAAATGAAGAGGACCAACAGCGCTGCTACCTCCCCTTAAGGACCTGCCCCGGGCTGCTGCTTAAATTAGCTGTTTATGATGGGGGCATAGTGACTTTCACTCTACACTTTATGTCTCAGTTAACCTATCACAACATCAAGCAGGACAACAGACACTCTCACGAGGACACTCGAAAATAACTCAACTGCTTCTGACTGTTAAAACTAAATCCTGGTCACTGGTCACTGGTTTCATAACAGGGAGTGAATCCAACTACAATATATGACAACGCAGTGAACGTCAAACACCCTGAAAAGCTTTCGTCTAAACTCCGCAGCCCACGTGGCATGCCCTTCAGGGCGAGGGGCCAGCTCTGGGACCTGGTGCCGTCATCTCCTCCCATGCTGCCCCCATGTCCCCTCCCGGAACGTCGCGGGGCTTCACTGAGTCACAGCGACGTCACTTATAAGCTATAAGCCGTCACTCAGGGTGACACCTGAGGGCGGGCGGGATGCAGGGAGGGGAGGGCACAGGAAAGGCAGAGCAGGCTCTGTGCTAAAGTTTTCTCGTCATAAAACCGCATCCTGACCCTCAAGAACAAAGACAAACGGACAGTCCTCTCAGCACGGGAAAGTCTCCTCCAGAAAGGCCCGGGAAACGCACCACACAAAACAGCCCTCACTCAGGAGCTGCTCTTCCCTGGCTCGGGAAAGCAAACAAGCACAAACCATTAAGCCACCTGCATTTGCAGCTGGAATCAGGTAACGTGAACATCTTGACAATGAAGTAAAAAAATCCCAGTTTAAATCTCACTCATTCTTTTCTACCCAACTACATACAGTGCTTAATCCCAGTTAATATATTAATGAGCTCCGCCAAACTGTAAGGTACACACTGAGGAAAGTCATGGATTTATTATTAAGGATAAAATGGCAAATTTATAGATTCATAAAGTAAGCTTTGTACTTAAAAAGAAACAGCCCTAAAAAGAAGGAAATACATCTATTCCTCTCTAGTTTCTGGAGGAGTGAGATCTGAGAATAAAGGCAGATTCAGCGCAGCTTTATTTATTTCCGAAGTGCAAGGAAAGATCAGTGCAAAACGTGCCCCTGAGAAAACTAATTTCCTGTCTCGCTGGGGGCGGGCGGTGCTGGAGGAGGACCGGGCGCGGCCCGGCACCTTCCCAAAGTGCGCTCCAGGGGCACCGGCCCCGGAGCTCTTCTGCCCCCTCCCTCCCCCACACGGGTGCATGTCACCCAAGCCTGGAAAATTCTATTCGCTCTGAATTCGCCTCATCTGGGAAGTTCCACAGCAAAGGAACCTCGACTGTATCTGATCCAACACTTTCCAAACTTGAATGGTCACAAGAACCCTGAGATGTGGTGAGATTCTGCTAATTAGAACACAAAACGTGAGGGCTGGTTAAAGTTTACAGAACCCCTGTCCCATTTTCTCCTTCCATCTCAGGGTCTGGACTCCTCGAGTCTCCTTCCCCCAAATACAGTTATTTCCCACCTCTAAGGACCCAGCATGAACTATAAAATGCAGACAATTATCCAGAACTGTAGACTCTCCACCGAAGTGCAGAAGATATGATCTCTCTTCTTTCTATTTTCCTTGAAGGACCGAAATAAGGAAAATATAACCAAGGCAAATAAACACAATTGATTAGCTACCCCGCCCTAATTAGCTACCCCTCCCGCACGCCTTTCTCCTTTCTAATCTCCCTGCTGCTGAAAACCCGGAAATCAGGCAGCAGAGTGAACGAGGGTGGCGAACCCACAGCCTTGTGACCACACCGTGACAGAGCGTGACATTCACACTGCTACCACGTGAGAGGCCAAGCCACACAGGGCACCAAGAGCAACACAAAGCAGGTCAAAGTTCAGAGCTTCTCAGCTTAGCTTCAGACCAAGCCGTTTATGAAGAGGACCCAGACACCAGGAAAGCTTCGTGACGAGGTCCTCACTCCACTTGGCACGTACTTAGGTTTTAAACGGTGAAGTCTGGCACCGTTACATTTTAAATTAAACAACGTCAAACGAAAGACGACAGTTATTTTACCACATGCGTCTCCTCTCCCATCAGCACCTGTGTATCTGACAAACCCACCCCCTGCCCTTAATCCTAGGCGTTCTCCCTGCACTCATAGCATTTTGTTGTACCCAGTGTCACCTTCACCAGTCAGCAGACCGGAAACCTCCACGTGGACCCGGCCCCCCAGCGCTGTCTGCACTCTTAACCGAAGATGGCTAACACACTGTCCAGGAAAACAGCAGGAGTCTGGGAGAGCACAAAGAAGGGAGGCGGGCCCCAGCAGTCACCCACCACACACATCTACCGGCTGCGAGAGACTAGGCTTTGAGGCTGAAAGATGCCTGAGGCCCTGGGCCGGGACTCACTGAGCGCGTGACCGGGACAGCCCTCCAGCTTCGACACCACCCTGTGAGGCAGGGACTCCGGCCCCACCTCTGCAGAGGGACCATGAAGGTCACCGAGAAACACGAAGGTGTTCTATCAGCAAACCTCGTCCTCTCCCTTCAGAGGGTCACGTGTCCTTCACCCACACGCTCTGTATATGTATTTAACTGCTGGCTGAATCCTCTTAAGTGTGCCATGTTCCCGCACTACACGGGTGCAGGTCTAACCATCCAGTCTGCACACTCCCCAGCTTGTCCCGCAGTACTCCAGCCAGGAGGAGCACAGCACAGAGGTGGTGTGGGCGCAGGGGACATCTGCAGGGACACAGTGTGCCACTGTGCGGTCCCTTCCATACCCGCCACAACTCGCCCCATTCCTACCCAGGAAAAACCAATGTATACGTCTTCAACATGTAAGTGTTTACTGTCAGCAGTTTACTTAAAGGGTCTGTGGATGGAGACTGCGGAAGAGAGGAAATGAAGCATCTGCAAAAGGCTGCTATCGAATTTACAAACTTCATTTAACCACGTCTTATCTCCCTCATTGCATGATAAGTGAAACAGTAAACAGACAAGTATTAAGGTCACCACTGGACTAGAAATCAATGTTCCAAACACGAAACCCTGTCTGGGCCACCGCACGGCGAGGGGCCCCGGGACAGAGCAGCCCTGTCTGGCAAAGATCTGGCAGTTGGACGTCCCTCCCGGCCCCCTGTGAGGGTGGCTCCCAGGGCTGAGCGAGCTCTCCCCCAGGGCCCGCGAGGCCCCCCACCAAGAGCCGGGCGCTCACCCGCTGTGGGTGACCAGGCACTGCCGCAGCCCCAGCTTGCGGAAGATGTCCACCACGATCTCCATGGGCGTGTGGTCCGTGACCGTGAACGGGCTCATGTCCAGGATGCTGCGGAGCTTCAGGGGCCGAGGGCTCTCTGCCGGGAGCGACGGCGTGTGCTGTGCGAAACACACGCGGGAGCTGCCCACGATGCCCTCCTGCTTCTTCCTGGCACTTTCTGAGAGACAGAGAAGACAGAGATCACCTCACAGGTCTCGTGTTGTCTGGTCGTGTTCAGGGCCACCCGCTTATTCAGAGATTTAAAAAATAAATGAATGCGTCCCAGGACCGTTGGCCCTTCATTTCTTCCTATCTTCCCAACTAACCAAGGAAACACACCAACTGAAAAGCCATTTACCAATTTCTAGTATTCGACAGAATTAGAAATCTACCAGTAACAAATCACCATCAGGTAAATAAACTGTCTTTGGTATAGTTATACATGGGACCATTTTCTCTGCCACTGTCCAGCTCTGGGGGACAAGGACGCACACGTGGAACACGGACATAGCACCTGTGAAACCGCGAGAGCACGGCTGATGACAGAAGCCTGCCCTGCGGGGAGCCGCCCCGACCCACCAGCTGCGGGTCTGTGCTGCCCCTGCGGTCAGCTGCCCCCTCTCTCTCCCCCTGCCCAGCTCCATCGTCGAGTCCAGCGAGTCACGGGTGGGTCGGGGCTGTTGGGGTGCTCCCTGTGCAGCTTTCTGCGCTCCTGCCTGCTGCGCCCTCCCTCGCCTGCCCCCCGAAAGCAGGAGGATAAGGGGCGGGGGCACGGCGAGGGTGGAGGAAGCAGAGACCCCTACAAGGAACGTGCAACAGGCAGCTTGCTTCTACCCTGAGTCAGCACGAACGTCACACTCTGGGCAGACAGGGCGCTTGTCATACGAACATACTTCCAACATGAACTTTGCCACAGAAACATTTAAGCCAAAATAACGAGCGTCAGTCCTAACTCGGCAGACGACGTGGCTCAAACACACACTTGTCACTCCCCGACCTCGAGAGCCTGCTTTAACTCGTGCTGTAACGCGCTCCAGGAGGAAGGCACTCGGGGAGTTCTCGGCTAGAACTCACTAAGCGCCTTAGGAGCGGGATGAACGCGTGGAAAAGCCAGCCCGCCAGCAGCTGCCATCACGATCTCCCACAGCGCTCTCAGAGACGCTGCTCTCGGCCTGCACAGAAGCACGCGGCCAGCGCCTGAGGATGCGCAACAGAAGCACCCTCAGCACGCGTGACAGCCGTTCTGAGTTACAGCCGAGCCCAACCGTCACTCGCAAACGCCTTGGAAGAACACATGACCCCATTAATGAAAATATGCTGAGAGACTGTTTAAATAAACATTTAATGATAAAACAACTTCAGAAAGTTTTTGAAAAAAGTTCTTGATTAACCTAATTAATCCATCTATGTATCTACTGGAATGTTCCCTCCATGCACAAGGCGAGAGCACATCCAGCCTGTGTGGGGTCTGAGGACACCATGTTCGTGTGAACACAGGAGTGACTTTAACAAGCACGTGTAACTGGACACACTACGTGCCAGGGCACCTGCTAGATTGGCCTTGTTTTTGAAAAAATTTTTAATGCCATTCAAAGGCCTTTGAAGCAGAAAACATCACCAGAGCTTTCCGTTCTGACAGGATTCAGATTTAGACTTTTTCAGGCGCACGTGCAGACACAGCCCCACCTCCAGGGGAATGGGAGTGGTTCTTTTCTAACATCCAATTTCATAAGGTAAATGTGAATTTTACTTCTAACCTTTAATACAAAATCATCTTTTCCCCACTATAGTTTAAGGTTTTATTCTTCCTGTTTATATGAGTATCAAGGACTTAAGTTCTGAAAATTCATCAAAAAAGCAAGGTACGCAGGCTGTCCCCTTCACTGCTGACTACGAGCACCCTGGTAGCGACATATTCCAAAAACATCCCCAGGGATCCTTTCCTGTGTTAACTTCAGAAGGCAAAAAAGCTTCTATGTTCACAAAGGGTGTTCCAGGGACTGAGCAGGTGCAGAGCCCACCCGAACTCTTGCAGAGAGGAGGGAAGGCAGGTCCACGGACTGCGGTCCTCATCACCGAGCCAACGCAGGCTCGGGCCGCAGGAGGACAGCACGGCCGGGGGTGGGACACCTGCACCACGTCTCCCAAGCACAGGGCACCCTGAGGAAGGGGGCCTGTCACCGCGCCACAGCCTCTCTCACCGTGTTCACACGTCAGCCGTACCCAAGATCACATCCCTGCAAAGCTCATAGCTCCAGCACAGAAACGGGAACCAGCAAGGGAAGGGAGCCTTTATACCTTCAGGTGGAAAACAGGAAAGAGGATCCAGCTCACGCTGTAAATACCACATTAAATACAGGCTTCATTCTAAACCAATCTGTAAAACATTCAGCCTCACTTTTAGGTCCAGACAGAAAGCAGAAGGAACGTCTTCGTTTGTGCTAAACTTTCACACAGTGAACTGTCATTCACTGCTGCGGAGACCGCATGGTACAATCCGAAAACACCTCACTAAGTGACAAACGCACTTCTCTGATCCAACAGTCCAGGTGCCAGGACCTTCCCACAGGCGCGCATGGGCACAACGACCACTGGGCGAGGTTCTCAGACTTACGAGGCGGCTGTTTTTATCACAGAAAAGACTGCAAACGTCAGCAGGAAACAGGTAAAACACCACGACGCAGCCCCTGGTACACCGCCCCACAGCGTCCTCTGCTGCGTACACAACGAAAGGGGGAAACTACACTGATCTGGAAAGATGTCCAAGAAGAGGCTGTTTAGTGAAAACGCAAGACACAGAGCAGCGTGTCTCATACTACACGATACAACTTGTCTACAAGGAAAGGGAAAAGCACACGTACTTACCATGGAGCACAGAACAGCAGCGACCGAAATCCACAGAGCCAAGCAGACGGCTGCCTGCGCACAGGCAGCCTGGACCCGGCAAGGCCACGGGGGTTCCGCATTATATACTTTCAATCGTCTGTTTCTGTTTTTTTTTAATTGAAGTGTTGTTGATTTACAATGCTGTGTTAGTTTCTGGTGTACAACACAGTGATTCAGTTATACAAATATTTATATATATACTTTTTATATTGTTTTTCATTACAGGTTATTACAAGGTATTGAGTGTAGTTCCCTGTGCTGTACAACAGGCTTGCTGTTTATCTATTTTATATAAAGTTGTTTGTATCTGCTAATATCTTTAATCTCCCTGAATATGAACTATGTCAATGTACTATCTACACACAAACTAAAAAAAAAAATTTAATGAAATAAAAATGCAGTTTAAAAATAAAAATGGGGGAGGGCATAGCTCAAGTGGTAGAGCACATAGATGCACAAGATCCTGGGTTCAATCCCCAAGTACCTCCTTCAAAAAAAAAGTCAACTTAATTGCCCCCCCCAAATAAAAAATTAATTAACTAAAAATAAATGAAATAAATTGGGGGAAAACTGTTCTTTTAAAATCTTGCGTTTTCCCATCCCTGGACATGGTACATATAGCTCACAATTTATTCAAGCATTTTTTTGTCCTTTAATTAAGTATTTTATACAAGTACATAAAAATTACATATATTCCACCAAACCTAGTGTACAGGGTCTATTTCTCCCATTCAAAAATGAAAACTTCACAGAATATATGTTGGTAAATATTTAAGGTATGTTAAAGAAGTCATCATGGGACTAACCACTCTGACGACATGATTTGCCACCTCACGTCTGAAGCAAACCTGCTCCCTGACACTGACATCTGCTATCCCAACATTCTATTTCTCAAGACACTAACGAAACTTTTAAAAATACATCTACAGAATCAAGGGGAATATAGACAATTCTTAACTTTACCATTTCCTTCTTTATCTTTTAAAAACCTGGGCTTTTTCTTTCAGACATATGTAAATTCCCAAACTCTGACCCCTTTCGTTCCTTCCTCATTTACTATCAAACCTGAAAGCACAGTCTCCTCAGACTGGAGGGCAGCCCCAGGCAGGGCTGAGCAGCCCCGGAACTCAGCCTCACCACAGCCACGGCAGCCACACTGCCCGCCCCTCGGGCACCTGCCAGGCCAGCACCTCAAGCAGAATCTGGAATGATGCAAAGTCGTCCAAAGCTGCAGTCTTTTCCTGAGCTCAACTGGACATTCCCTGTAGGCTCTTCTCTCTCCCTTCCTCTTTTTGCTTTAGCAGCTCTTATAAACTGAAGGCTTCCAGGCTGATCTGAGAAATACTCCCACCATCTAGTCCCCCTTCTCCAAATGGCACGAGAACTGAAGTAGTTCAGACCACCTGCAATGGCCAAAGAGGCAGCTGGAAGGCTGGGACACGCTGGGGCATGACCTCGGGGACCGTCCAGGGCTCAGCATCCCCTACCGCCCAGCAGGGGCACCAGGGCAACAGCTGACGGGGACACCCACAACCTGGGGCTTTCGGGGGTGCATCAGACTGAGCTGCTGGCCCCCTCGTCAGCACTGCAGGGCTACAGGGGACGGACATAAAGCATTCTGGAGGACAAAACTGGCTTCCTCCTCAGAAGTTCAGCTTCTCTCCAGGAAGTCGCACAGTAGGGCTAACGCCGTCACACTGCACTTTCAGGAAGGTCAGCACAGAACACGGCAGGACTCACAGGCTTTCCCAACCTGTGTTTAACCAAGAATACAATCCCAGTGATTTTTTCACTTTAAACTAGGTATTACAAGTTAATATTGTAAATCCAAATCCAAACACTGAAAAAGCAAAACCCTGTGAATCTGGTATGAAACAGATCACAGATGACGGAATTTTCAAAAATTTGCATTCAAATGAGCCAATTTTATTAAACACAACAATGTATTTAGCTGAATGCCCGACACCCACTAAGGGCTTCTAGCACGTGCTATTATGAATACTGTCACCTTTACAAGACTTATTTATCTGAGCCAAAAGAGAAAGAATCGGACTCCAATCTCTGAGAACAATGCCATATCAAAAGACAAGACTGCATCCAGCGGGAAGGCAATCCCCGGAAGTGTGAATCCCTTTCCTAAAGAGCAGAAGACTTGAAGGGATGTGAAGCAGACCACTTGCCCCACAAGCCCAGCCAATCACATTGCACAGCTTCCCTTCCTCCCAGAAACTCACTGCACACTCACGCCCACCCAGCCAGGTGCCGGTTCCGACAACTACACACACAGGCAGAAACCCACGGCACACGTGCGCCCACCCCGCCAGGCGCCGGTGCCGACACACGCAGGTGCAGGCAGGCGCACACGCACGCGTTCCCTCAGGAGGGTACCTATTGCGATCGTCAGGTCTCTTCGGAGGGCGAACCCCACCAGCCTCTGGGACTCCCTGGACGTTATGACCGGGAAGCCGTTGTAGCTGGTCTCATTGATCAGGTTTTCTATGTCATCCACCGTCATGTTGTCCTGTGTCAGGACAGCCAGGGGAGGGTCGCTCCTTCGCGGTCTCATGACGTCAGCGGCCAGCGTGGTGTGTGTGAACTCTTCCTTCGCATCCAGGAAAGGGTATCCGTTTAGTCGGATGTGAGCTTCATAAATGCCTTCCCTCCCAAAGGCATCTCCAACCCATTTACTGGTCATCACTGCGGCCATAAGGGGGACGATGTACTCCAAGCCTCCGGTGAGCTCGAAGACAATCACCACCAGGGAGACCGTCATCCTGGTCACGCCGCCTGAAAGGAGCAAGCACCACGGGTCAGGGGGCAGGACAATGTGGGGGGACTTCTGTACCAGGCAGTCAAACACAAATGGAAAACAGGACGTAGTGAAAGGCAGCATCGTTATTTAGCAAGATCTGCAGGAACACCAGTCTCCTGTCTTCAAACATGGAGACCATTAGACTAACATTTCAAACCGGCCAACCTCATACAAAACAGAAACGAAAAGTCACGGCTGACCAGTTAGTACACTTTGCCACTTTGGTTTCCTGCATAGCAAAGACACTTTCTCCCCAGGAAAGCTTACTGTTAGTTCTTAGGACTTTGTGAGGCACATCACAGCTCATCTGTTTGCTACCAACTTACAAATTAAACTCAAGTGGGCAGAATATTAAATTAATACGTTTCTCTCCCCTAAATCTTTTCAAAATGAGTAAAATATTCTGACGTGTGATTTATGTGAACAGTATAATATCCCTTCCCTTAGAAAAGCGCATCTAAACTATTCAAATTGTCCACCCAAAGCACCACCCAGAGCTGCCAGCTCCAGGCTGAGGCCTCGCCACCTCCTGCTGAGCGTCCCGTGTCTCCTGCCGTCATGTCTTACATGCTCCTCTCATTTTCCAGCTGTAGGAAGACCCTGAATGACTGACTGTCGCAGAAACCACCACACACTTAAAACCAAACCCTCTTCCTCCCCAGAGAGCTTCCCCAACCCCCGGACCCCGACGCTGGGCCCCGCCTTCCTCCCAACAGCCTCACGGCCACAAAGCCTGGTTCACCCCCCTCCTTTACCCTAGGTCCAGACTCTCACAAGTCCTACTGACTTGCTCTGAAAACCCTCTACCCAGGGTCCCTTCCTCACCATTACCAACCCAGTGCAGACGCTCAAGACTCTGCTCCTTAACTTCGTGCTCTTTTATCTCACCTCGCTGATGGCAGGCCCCAGCACCTTCTACCCACTTCACAAGCCGCCTTCCCACGTGACTCCTTTCCAAGTGCGGCTCTCACCCCGCTGCTCCTTTGCTCAGAAACCTGCCAGGGCTTGTCAGCTTACACTGCAGGCAGCTTGAACTCTTCCTCTCTGTTTCTAAACAAAACCAGAATGGAGAAAGAATCTACTGTGCGTTGCACATCCACACCACACCACGGATGCCCTTGTCCGTTTACAAAGGCTTTTGACTTAACCGAGCCCTCACCTCGCCAGGCACTGCGCTCACAACTCTGTATGCGTGTTATCTCACATGATCCTCAAAAACACCCGTAGGAGAAGTAGCTATTATTTGCACTTTAAAGGTAAGAAAATAAAAATTAACAAGTAAAGGAACCTTCCCAGAGTCATCGCACTAAAAATGGCAGAGCCACAACAACCCCGCCACAGATCCGACCGACTGCAGGCACAACTCGTCCCGACATGAATCACTGCCTTCTCAGAACCCGGCTCCGTCTCCCGAGTCCGACTGTCTCTCCCCAGTGTCCAGCGCGCACTACTTCAATACTCTGTTTCCTCAAAGCTCCATGAACACTAAGTGGGCTCCTACCCAGTCCCTTCGCTTCATGTCATCACCCTCTTCAACAAAGCCACCTCCTCTCAGTTCTACTGACCCCTAGAAGAAAGCGCATGTCCCAGCCACCCTGAGCTCTTCCTCTAGGTCCCCACCGAGGTCACAGGCACTCCCAGCTATCCCTGGCCCTCTCGCACTGTTCACACCGCGCAGCCAGTGCTGGTCTCATCTCCCCAGCACGCCTCTCGCTGAGTTTGGGCCCACTCTCGCATCACTCAGCGCACGCGCACGGGCACAGCACCGCACAGAAACGGGCGAGCACCTGCTGTTCCGGAGAGAAGGGTTCTCCCATCACTTTCACTGGATTTTACTTAGAAGATCAACAACTTCTTTACCCAACTTTGACTCACTGAACAAAACTAAGTCAAAATACCAACTGTAATTAAATACTACAGTCAAAGTTTAGCTGATATTTTAAATACAAAAATAAATATCTTTCACGTCCACGAGGACAAGGAATAGACGATTAAGAAGGTAATGCAGATACCTGGCTTTTCTTGGCTCACAGTGACTCACCACAGAGCCAAAGCAAAGGTGCTCTGAAGCTCTGCTGGAACGTGGGTGAGCCAAGGTGCTTGACAAGGAGAAACAAAACCTTCCCGGACAGGAGCCAAACTAAGCCTGGTACTGAGCCAAATGTGGTACTGAGATGTCTTCTGTCATGAAGCATCACGTGATGTTACAAAGGTATTAACTTAAGATTTTCGCAGTGACAGGCAGGATGATGCCACCCACGTGCATCCGCACCCCTGTCCCTTAGGCAGGGGCCTCCACCTTGGTTATGGCCGAGCACACAGACCCCAACTCACCTAAGCACGCGGCGGCGCCCACCATGGCGTACAGGCCGGGGGTGATGCAGTCGGCCCCAACCTCGCACCACTCCTGGAAGATGAACCAGTCGTGGTGGTAGTAGGCCAGCTGCTCCACTGCGATGCCCACGATGCGGCCGGCAATGGCGCCGACGGCCATGCTGGGGATGAATAGGCCTGACGGCACCTGTGAGGGAGACGCCGGTGAGGCTGGTGCTCAGGGTAGGCTCCCAGCACAGGGAAAGCACGGCGGCCCTGGACAGTCTCACACACTCACATACCAAGTAATAAGCAGCATTCTTGGGCCCAGAGAGAAGGGACTCCAGGACTCCTCGTCCTTCAGCTCGGGTTTCTGAATGCTCACCCCTTGTACACACGCACATGCACGTGAAATTATCAGGAGGACAAGAGCTGTTCCTGGTCCAACCCAGTGGGGGCACGAGCTTGAATGCAGACCGTGGGCAGGAGGCAAGGCCAGCGCGGAGGGCACGCTGATCAGCACAGGTCACAAACCAGCACAGGACACCCAAACACAAGGGCTCAAAACCTGCATCTCCCTCCCCTCCAGGAAGGCCCCGCAGCCCCGTGGGGCCCAGGAAGCTGACTTACAGGGTCCATGCATCGCACCTGCTCAGCTGAGTGCTCCACCTGGGCTTGCTCAGGAAAACAGTCAAACTTCGAGGTGTTTCTATTATTTAACCCTCATGCCCAGGGGACTAAGACAGGACAACAGACGAGAGAGACCATACTTCACAGACTGACACGGCGTGGGCTGGCTGAAATGAAGCCATCACCCACCGACTACACCACGGACGACCGGTCCTGAGCGAGCGGCAGGGGTCACACCGACCGCAGGTGCAGCCATCTGGAGACCGGCGGCTGCTGCCATCCCACCCCATTCACATCTTAACAATCATGCAGGAACTACCCTGACTGGCAAATCACTAACTAAAGATTGTCACTCTCCTGAGTTCAGGAGCAGCTGCGTCCCAGGGCACAGCTGGGCCTCGGAACAGAGCAGAGGCTGCAGGGCCCTTAGGCTGCCGTCCCGCGACATGTGGGTAGAGCACGGACTCCACAGACAGCCACGCCCTCGTCCCCGGAAGCCCACCGTGCTGCACGGCCAGGAGGGATTCCGGCATCAGCAGCTGACCTCAAACAGAAGACCGTCCCAGGTGAGTGGGTGGGCCCAAAGTCATCACAGAGGTCTTAACATGTGGGAGGATTTAGGACTAGTGTCAGAGCGCGGAGATAAAACAAAGACTTGACGAGCCACTGCTGGCTCTGAAGATGAAGGAGGGGCCACAAGCCCAGGACCACAGAGGCTGGAAAACTCAGAAAGGCCTCTCCCCCAGCTCCTCCGGACACCCTGACTCCAGCCCAGTGAGACCCAGCCCGGGTGTCTGGTCTCCAGATCTAAAACAAACGTGTGAGACTCGTGGTGAGGGACTCTGGCAGCAACAGGAAACAGGCGTAAGTGGTTTTAACCACGATCATCAACTCTGTGCCCGCCCCCTGGAAGTCGAGTGTGCATCCGTCCCCCCCACCCCCTGGGCCTCTGTGACAGCACAGATGGAAGCATGCTGCGGGGCATCCCTGGCTGGGGTGGGAACAGTCCTCTCCGGACACTTGCTCTTGGAACCCTGAGCTGCCATGTGAGGAATCCACCAACTCCGAGGCCACTGTGCAGGGAAGACCAGAGAGAGCGAGTGGGGGAGACAGTGCAGTAGGAGCCCAGATGGTCCCCCACCTCCCCAGCGTTGACCCTGCTTGGCCCAGGCACCTGACACAGCCGTGTCTGGTGACAGCACATGAGGGGCCATAGACAGAGCATGCTCAGTGAGGCCTCCCGGTACAACAAGCCAACACCAAGAGCGCAGTGAGCCAGCGTTACCCTAAGTGGCAAGGTTTGGGGTTAAGTTGTTACACAGCAAGATAACATACTCAACAATAGATCAAAAAACCCTTTTTTCACTATTTAAAATTAAACGCAACAGGTAAACTTTTTCAGTCTACATATATGAAGCAACCATCTTTAGATGAACATTTCAGTTCATGGCACGACTACTCAACCATCACCCAGCACCAGCCAGCACTCACCTTGATCCCGAAGGTGAACACCGTCATTATGATCTTGAATACGAGCGCCAGCCCTAACTGCCATATGGCTGAATACACTCCGAGGCCGGCGGGCCGGTCTGGAATGTCATCGACGATTTTACTGGCGTTCATGTCGTTTCTGTAGTCACAGAGAGAGGAGGACTCCAGGGGCCCGCAGTCCGTGAAGAGCTCCTTGATGAGCTCACTGGTGTTGAGCCGGGTGTATGGGTTGGGGAAGGCTATCACGGCGGTGATGGCCGCGACCACGATAACTTCCAGAACAGGGTACTTCCCAAATCTGGTAGACTTGCGCCGCCGACACCAGGCAATGTTTGCCCGAATGAAAAAGGCTCCCCACAGCCCTCCAAACACCCCGAGGAGGATAAAAGGAAACAGTTCAAAAAGGTACCAGGGCGTGTGGTACTCCACGTAAAAGAGGACCAGGCGGCTGTTACCAAATGGATTGATGGACCTCAAAACAAATGCAGCCACCAAAGCAGCAAAAAATGACCTCCATAAAGTCTTCAGAGGAAAGTAATAGCTAACCTACAACAAGGACAAGGAGAAGGAGAGTCAGTGCTGCAGTTTTACAAAGTGCTTCTGACACGTTAAACTTTGAGTGCGGAACACCAGGGCTCTAAACTTCACTGCAGCTAGAATTTATGTGTAACAGTTATTACCACGGTAAGGAAAATACTGTTTTACAGACATTCTGGCTATCACATCATTACACAAATTCACAGTATCAACTGATTACCAATGTCTACTAATTATTTAAAATACCTAGTTCTGTGTTATTTTCAAAGTGAGTTTCACCCCCAATTCAATCACAGTAGTTAAGAATAAAGTGTACCATTACTAACTCCTACTAGCTTACAAAGAAGTATTTAATTTTCCTCTTCTATATTAGGGCAAAAGGAACACAAAAAACCCAGGGAGAAAAGTACATTTTAAGCCATTCCTAAGTCACATTTTTTTTCTAAGTCACATTTTTGTACAAAGGTGTAAAAAGTCTTAAGCACCAATGAGAAAACAAAAGATATTCCACGTGAGTGACTGAAATTGTCTCCTTAAAATCAGTAACTACAACAGAAATAATCACACAAGAAAAATTTTTAAAAATGACTTAGAAACTGATTAAAAACTTTAAAATAAAAACAAGGCTGTAAGTTAGCCAATAAGGATTGTTTTAAATATTTTCCATTAAGTCAAATTCATTTCTGCCTATTTTTATTTATGTCCACAATGGTGAAGTTTAAACAAGTATTAACATTTGTATATGAATAATAGTTTTAAAAAGACTTCTCTCAAGTAAAGAACACATATATATACTTTTTATGTAAGAATGAGTGAAAAATAACTGAAAACAAATCTGTAAACTTAAAAACAAAGTCTGTAACTATGCATGAGTGGGAACACTGGAAAGTGCGCCACAGCACGTCTGCAACGGTAACGACACAGAACCATGACTGCTGGCTGCTTTCTCACCTACCTCCTCCAGGCTGAAAAGGACTCCTCCGATCGGTGCACCGAAAGCTACAGAAACACCTGCAGCCGAGGCAGCGGACAGCACCTGAAAGAGGACGTGGCCTATTTCACAAGTGCTGACAGACTCACATGCACCAGGCCACACTCCGCGTGTCACTCAGTCTCTCAAAACGCCGCTTCTGAATTTGACTCGCGTGTCTCCCTTTTCCCTCGTGACCCAAAGGTATATACTTCTTCTAATAAGATTATTTTTTCTACTCTGCTTTAATTGAAAGGTCATTCATAGAGTCAATATTCAGCTAAAACGTCTGTGCGAGACACACCAATGTAAATAGGATGTAAAGAAGAAAAGGCAGGGAACACACAATCAAGATGTTTACTTGTGAAGACCAGTGGAGAGAGTGTAACTGGGTGGAGGGGATATGCTTATTTTTAAAGAGGGTGTCATTTCTCCAGATTCCAGAGCTACCTACTCCATCGTTAACAATTACTCTATTCCCGTGAAGTAAGCCAGAAAGAGAAAGAAAAATACCATATGAGATCGCTCATATGTGGAATCTAAAAAACTAAAACAAAAACAAACAAAAACAAAGCATAAATACAGGACAGAAATAGACTCACAGACAGAGAATACAGA